CTGCTTCCTGAAAGGATTTGATCCAAGATGGCATGAGCCTTCCCTTTGTAGAGGTAACAGGCTGGAGGATAGCGGACTCTCTCTTTTGCTCTGAGCAAAGATTAATTTTGTGTATAAACCACAACCAGTGTGCTAATTACTGTGAGCGACACCATGAGCTGTTAACTTCTCCCCACAGCAGTTAACTCCTCCATCAGATGTCTGCCTTTACTTGGATTTTGGTGTTTCGGGGTGAGGGCTGGGTTGTTTTTTAAAGTTTGAGATGAGCACATATGAACAAGTGAATAGTGTTACAGGCAGATGAAACAGTAATTTTCACAGGAAATTTTTAGACATCATTACTTGCCCGGACTTTCATCAAGATGGCTATTTCAAATAGGAGAACAATCTTTTTGAACTTGGGGGCCACCAAGCAACAGCACAGCCTGGCAGAGCAGCTGTGCACCCCGAGGCCCAGGGACCCCCAGTGCCAGCACTGCTGCCAGCTGAAGGGAGACATTTGGTGGTCATGGAGGAGGGACTGGAGAGCTTGCTGCTTTTGAGAGGCAGGAAATATTTATTCAGTTTTGTTTGGGACCAAAGACACGAGATTGCCTCACTAATGTTGCTTATTTTTGCATTATCATAAATAAATGCGAACAGCATTCCAAACTACATTATATATGAAGATACACATAAGGAATTTGTTCTTTTTATTGCACTGTCAGGCAGTAGTAGCGATATTTGATCCAAATAACTATTGGCACCAAGTGTATCATGTTTGGTTTAGCAAATAAATTATTTTGTATCATCCCGAGCAGTGCTGGGGGGTTTGTCACAATCTAGGATTTGTGCGTTCATACTTCTTTTTTTGAAAGATCCTCATTATCTAATACTTGTTATAGCAAATCACTGCAGATCTGCTGGCGCTGTCAGGTAGCATAAACCTCAGCGTGAGCACGATGCTGGCCTGTAGCAGGAAGCACCATGTTCCAAAAACTCTACGCTGACGTGCTGTCTGCAGGCATGTGCGTCCTCTGCCAAATGGCAGCTGTATGGGAATGTTTTCTTTTAAAAAATGTATTTATTCCAACTGGTAAATTAGACAGTGCAAATCTGGCTAGTATTAGTGTGGGAAGAGCACAAATAATCCTGTCCTTTAAACTAGGAATCCTCTTCATGGAGAATTTGATGTGATCTATTAATGTGCAAATAGTGGTTTTGCCTCTGGTGGAGCACCAGGCAAAGCTCCTGTCACAGATGTGTTTGATGTCCAGATCCTGCAAGTGAAGGATCTGCTTTGTTCTATTTACTGCTCGGTCAGCACGTAACTGTCCTGCGTAACTGCGTAAATTTGCACTGGACACTTTGCAAATTCAAAAGAAATTGGGTGCTGATCCCTCAGGCACCCCTGTGAGTCACTGTGTTATATTTACCACCAAAAAAGATTGCTCCAACACACAAGTGTTCACATCAGCGGTGCCTTGTTCAGAGCCGGAGCCGGCTCCATGTGGCCCCGCACAGGGCTGGGGGCTGGGGCTTTCCCAGTTGCCAGTGGGCCACCAGCCAGGGCTCATGGTGCCACGGCTCTGCCAGCCACCAAAACCCCACAGCCCTTACGGTGCTGGCTGCCAGTCAGCTCAGGCTCTTTACAGCTGAAGTGATTTAAATCACTGGTTGTGCTCATGATTCAAATGATAAACAAGGAACTTGGAATTAAATAATTTGAACTTTTCCTAAGTGAGAGCTCATTCCGGTTGATTAGGAGGAGTAATATAAAACACATGGCTTGCAGCTAGTCACACACTTGTAAAATTTGACATGGTTGTATATTAACCAGAAAGTGATACAATATCTCACACAGCTGTGGATGCCGTTAGTTAGCTCCAGAGTCTTGCTTGTTGCTTTTTAAATTCTTCAGAAAAGGTTAATGACATATTTCTACATTTATGGAGAATGTTTGGTTTTTACTTGAGATTTGTCTCACGTGACACTAGGATGGAAATTAAAAGTCAACTAAAGTGAGTAAAACCATGGGTTGAAAATTACAATCATATTTATAAAGCATGCTGTCCATATTTAATAATAAAAAAAGCTTATCAAAGTGCACTTTATGTCTTAATCTGCATTATTAAACAAAGAACTATTAGCTATAATTTAGGTTTCCATTTGCTATTTTTCAAGCAGCTTTACTCTAAACAGTGGATGTTACTGTCAAATTGATTTTTAAAGAGGTTTTTTTTATTTTGAAATAATCATTTAATCAATCATTAACAACTTTGCTTAAAATTCATGGGAGTTTAAACATTCATAAATTCCCTTTGTTTTCTGATTTACAAGTCTGCAGCCTGGCTGGCTGCTCCCTGCCTCCCCAGGCAAACTAGCAGCCTCACATAACGACCAGCTTACGGGTCGAGGCGGGATGCGCTGGGGGAATTTCGAGTTAGCATTGCTGTGCTTTTAAGCATAAGACTTGATAAATCTCTGTCAAAATGAAAAGGAAAGAAACCCTGGTAAATTAAGTCATTCCTCTATCAGTAAAGCGCTTTCTTTAATGTCAAAAGTTGCAAGTGAGTAACGCGGAATCATCCTTCTCAATTTGGAGCTGTGTAGGGCCATGGTAAGTGTTGTAAAAGTGCCTAATTCAGCGTATCATTTGAAAATGGAGTGCCACAGTTTTACAGCTGCCTGTGTGCATGCTTCGCTGGTCAAAGGAGTGAGGGGTGCAATGAAGGAGGATATTTCCCCGCTATGTTAAGAGCTGCAGTGCTGGAATTTGTTGACATTGTTGGCTTTGCCACCGCCGCCGTGGTGCAAGGGAAGGCACAGTGGCACCGGTGGTGCGGGCTGGTGCCCACTGATGGTGGGTTTGTACTCCTTGGGGTAACAGCCGAGCGCAGACCCCTGGGTGGATTCAGCAGCAGGGAGTGGGGCAGGGCAGGCAAGGCTGCAGAAATGCATTTTCTTGTCTTAATGTTTACGAGTCAACGCTGGGAAATCCTTCCAGTGTCCTCGGGGCACTTCATCCGCTCCAAGGGGTCAAAAATCCGTCCTGGGGCTTTGCTGCCTTACAGAGCCACCTATGCCAGGAAGGTCAAAGGCATATATTTGAGACTTGGCACAAGGTCAACAGCTCATTTACCTTGAATGACTTAAAATGCTTAAGTTTACACGTTGCTGTTTACACATGGGGCTGTTTGCACCCAGGAAGACAAAATGGACTTTTTTTTTTTTTTTTTAATAGTCTCAAAGATTAGAAACATAGTCAGGTTTTGCCTTTACTTTTTAATAAAAGCCCCACATGAATGGATAGTGGCTATCTCAAGCCCTTGGCTTCATTATCCATTAGTTTATCCACTTGGATGCATATTGACAACAGTAGCTGCTACAAGACTCCTGATAAAATGGAGAAAGATAGTTTTTTCTTCAGTCCACTTTTGTTATCTTCAGATGTACTTTATGTCCCTGCTGCTGCAGAGAGGCCAGGCATAATTTTAACAGTGTTTTCTGGTATTGTTAAGATGACTTAACAGAGTTAAAGTAGTTTGTAGAATGGGTTTGCATGAAGGAAAAGTCTGAAACTTCTGAAAGTTTAGACTGCAATATATAGGCCATATTACGGTTAGCAAAAACAATTATTAGCAAAATCCACAAAAAATATAGAGCTAAGTAAAAGGCAAAATAAATTCAAATTTATTCTTCATTCAGGGAAAGTCTGTATTTTTACAGTAAAAGAATAAGTAGCTTGGGGAAAACTTCCCTTTCTGGTATTCCGTAGTGCAAACAAACCCCACGACCTTCATGGGCATTATGCTGCTAATCCTGTGTAATGGATGATGGAAATATTTTAAAAATGTTACGGAGACCTGCCCCTTCTTTCCTCCCAGCTAAGGACGGCATTGATTTTAGTGTGCAAAATGAGTCAGGTTCAGTGAGTTACTGATAAGGAAGAGCTGAATCAAATGCTGTTCTTCCACAGCTGTAACGTGACAGTCCCATTGAAATTTCAATTTATTTCATATAAGTATTTTACAGAGTTCAACACAGTTCCATGCAGAAACCTGCATGGCAGCCCCTGCAAAAATGTAAAACTTTGTATATGTCTTGCCAGGAGAAAACCATTGTTTCATTTTCTCCCTCCTGAGGCCTTGCTGGGCTTTGCAAGCTCACTCCATCTTTCCTGTGCTAGTTCTACAGGTAGATAGCTTCATCTGTTTGATATTTGTTATTTCACTTCCCTCAATTTTAATTTAACTGCAAGGGTCAAGATCATGTGTGGTGTTCGATACAGTTCCTACATACAGTACCTGAAGTTGTTCTATTCTGAAAATGCACAGGTGGGTAGATATACAAGAAGTTGAAGATTATAGGAATGTTAATAAAAACATACTTCCAAAACTACGGAACTGAGAATAATGGAGAGAATTATTTATATGAATAGGAAAGACTAGCATGTGAGAACAAGAGATCTCTCTGGCTTTCACCTACCTCTTTTCATTTGCTTTATGCAGAATTCAGCCTGGGAGCCTTTTCAGTTTCCATGTGGTAAACATTTTTGTGCAGAAAGTCTATTGTAGTACAATTGTTTTTGAATCCTGTCATAATTCTGTCAAGTGTAACTATTAATGAATAATATTTTGTATGTGTTAACAATATGTTGAGCGATACACTTAATATAGACTTTTATATACTGTAGCTTTTAAGAACTAAAAGTATAAAAATGTATATAAAACACAGCAGAGCTTGATTTGCAGTTTACTTCTAAACTTGGATTAAAGTTATAGTTGGAAGTGAATTTAGCTTTATGCCTTTAAGTAAGTCTTAATTCTGATTTTCAACCTAGATGACTTTGTGTGTATCACGGTTTGTTCTTTTGGTCCTGCATCCTCTCTGCTTTTCTATGTGATTTGCATTGTCACCTGGTGAAGGTAAAACAAAACCCCTTCACTGTGTGCACGATTTTCTTGATGAGTAAAAGCATCTGAGGAGGGCTGGTGTTTAGGTGTCTGGGCCAATACATCACCCACTGGTAGTTGATCTGAAAGATAATATATATCAATACAGGGTTTTGCTTGAGTTTCTTTTCTCCCTTGCTCCCCAGGATCATTGACTGGTTTTGCATCTGATGAAATTTTCATGCCCATCCACAGAACAGTGGGAATCTAAGGATAGAGATTAATTTTTCAGTAATTATACCATGCCAGTAGATTGCTGGATTCATCCCTGCATCTGCAGAGGACCCCTGGCTGTAGGTGGTGGTTCACAGGAATGTGTGGCAGGAGGAAATCCAGCCGGGGGGAGCTGCTTGTTTCTTTTGGCAAAATATATGGATGGGGAAGGAAGGAATGCATGTGAGTGTCCTTTCCTGGAAATGTTTTGAGGAAAAAGTGGGTACTGAGCTGGTATAACATGCAGAGAAAAAGCTGATTGCTTTCTGGGCTACAGCAGTAGCTGTAGGGCACTGAGTGTCACTGACGGATGCCAGGGAGAGGTACCCAAGGCTGGATTGTGGCTCAGCAGCATCACTGCTCTGCCTTTTCACTTGGGGGATTACCAGACACTCTCTGCCTTGTGCTTTCAACATGCCTGGTCAAGGCTGGGCTTCTGGGACATTTCATCTTCCGCAGACTCATGCATCCATTTCTCCTGTCCCTCCCTATTCCAGAGAACAGCCCATCTTCACCACCAGAGCCCATGTCTTCCAAATTGACCCCAGCACGAAGAAGAACTGGGTTCCCGCAAGCAAGCAGGCTGTAACTGTTTCCTACTTCTATGACAGCACGAGAAACAGCTATCGGATTATCAGTGTGGATGGAGCCAAGGTAGGAGGCTGATGGTACCCTGGCGTGTTTACTGTGTGGAGAGGATCGTGACTGTCAGCCTTGGATGAAGGTAGACATAGATGGGCTACATTAAGCACTTAAGTTCATAAGTAGTCGCTTTTTTAATATAATCCATTATGGACACTTGTAGTCATAATTGGAAAACTACAGGGCACCTTAAAAGTGATTTTGCCAAACTTAATTGATTTTTCTTTCTGACTAGTTTGACTTCTTTGACTGATCTTAATGAGCCAAGAGCTTTAAGTGTCCAAATAGAGTCTGTAGCACAGTATCTGAAACCTCCACCCATACTAGGCAGATAAGGCTGAAGCCTTTTTAGTGAAAAAATGTTCTTTTAAAGGGAATGAGGAAACAGATATGTGCAGGCTAGAGCTTTTAATGTAAATGCCAACCGCATATTCACTTTCGCCTGATTGAACTGTTTACAGGTTAGCACTTAATTTTCTTCATCATTTGCACTGGATTTCATTAGCCTCAGGTAACAAATTAGGCGTGAATACTTTTCCCCCCTCACTTTTTTTTGTTATTTTATTTTGCATTACCAGATAGTTTGCTGACGTATTTCCTGTAAGAATCCTGATCAGTTGGATTGGTTGCTCAATCAAGTGTTTTTATTACATACTAGGTTTATCCCTCTAATCAGTCCCTCTGAAGTAAGCTGTAAGGTGACTGCTTTCCCCTAGCAGACCCCAGTCAGTGGTGTAAGTTAAAACATTTCACTCATCTACAAAAACCATCGGTCGTTTATGTCAAAGCACCAACACAGGATAATGAGACAAGTTTACAGCCTGTTTATCTGTGTTCCTGTTTGGATGAGGATGTTAAAATATCACTGTCCTGGGAAAGAGAGATCGCAGAAATCATCCCTTAATAATTTTCTATTTGTCATGCCTATTTCACATGCTTGTTTTTCCAAACATCTCCTGTGCTACATTTGGTTATATATTGGCTTACAAATCAGCCCTACTGCCTGCTTAAATTGATGGTAATGTTTCGTCGATACCAGTACAGCATTAATATATCACCATCATTACGCTGTTTGTGCCGGTGTGTTCATTTCCATAAATGCCAGCTAACTGCCCCGGCTGACTGTTTCCAGTCAGCTCACACAACCCCTGCAACTTGCTGCGTAAAACTGAGCCCCCCAAAATTTGCTTACACCCCACGGATGCTCCTGCTCCTGCTTGGGCGAAGCTGGTGGGCTGCTGATGCTGCAAACCCAGGCGAGTGTGACTTCCAAGCCAAAACTTCTGTACCTGCAGCAGTGGGTTGCTTGATTTGTGGATGTGCATGCATGCATTAAGACCAATTAATTAAAAGAAAGTAATTACTGTATGTGGCAAGGGGAAGCTGCAGGGGAAGAGTCTGCCCACAGCCAGAGGTCTTGCCCAGAGCTGCCCAAGTGTGTGCTGAGAACAAGGTGGGCATCCAAGCTTTGCTTTGTAATCTACCCCAAAGCCATTCAGAAGGAGCCACCCCTCTGTTTTAGTGTGTCCCAGAAGAAGGTGAGCTTTCCATGATTAAAATTCTCCCCTGGGGCTTCCTGAGCAAGAATCAATTGCTGCCCACATGAATTATTCCTCTTGTATTGAACCTTTGCTGATTAAGGAACAGGTGGAGAAGAGATGCTGCCTTCACGCTCACCACTGGAGAGTCCCCAGTTATGCTGCCTGTCGAATTTAACAGTGCTGATTTGGAAAAAGAAGTGTATTTATGCCCAAATAAGGTTAAAAGTTGATTTCTCCCTCAAACAACTATTGTTTAATTTTTTGACCTACTTTTCTAGCCAAAAAATGAAACTGGGTAGAACTGTGAGAAAAAATATGAACAGCATCACTTGGTGTTGTCCTGCTTTCGGACATCTTTATTAGAATAATGTCTTTTGTGTGTTGGCAAATACCAGATAGATTAGCATCACGGCATCGCTGCAGGCAAAAGTTATCCCTGTTTTAGAGACAAAAAAGCTGAAGCTCAAGTAAATTAAGGGACTTGGCCCTAGAAGGAAGGTGGTGATGAAGGGTGTGTATCTCTTACAATTCTCTGTCTTTGTCTGAACTGCCAAGGGGCTGTTCTCACAGTTTATTGTAGAGAAGCATGTACAATGCACATGGGCTTGCAGAAAAATCTCTTTTAAATCCAACTTCTATACAGCAGTTGTAAAAAAAAAAAAAAATTAAAAAAAAAAATTAAAAAAGGCAGAAGGAATCCTTACAATTTCTCCTTCCTGGCAGATCCCCATCCCTCATCCCCAAGCCCCCTGTGGCACAGCGGGAGGGTGAGGGGTGCTGCAGGGCAGAGGGGAGTGGAAGGATCTAGGAGTGGATTGAAGGGGGAGATTAAGGGAACCGCTGAGCCCATGTGTTTAGGGGTGTAAATATTAAGAGATTTTGTGAGGGTGTCTGGCAGAGGGGCAGGGGTTTGCTTGGCTCTGCTGCCAGGGCAGTAGGGCATGGACCCAATGGCCTTTGGGTCCATACCCGTTTCAAAGTGGTGGGGCAGGACAGAGGGTCTGGCAGGTACATGTGGAGGTAGTGAAGATGGACACTGCTGCAAAGAGGAAAATGGGACAGAAAAAGAGTAGGGTAAAGATAGGGAGCAGAGTGAAGTCAAGGGAGCTTAACTCTTCCCTTGCAGAGGGATATGCAAGAGGCTTGTGCTGAAGACCAGGAGTCCGGTATGACGGAGGGCAACCGAGCGAGAGCGTACACCTTCCAGGTGCCAGGTTTCTTCCAAGTCCTCCCAGCTCAATGACAGAAAACCCCATTGAAATGCCTGGGGAGTCAGGCATTGATAAGTGGAGACCCCAGCTTCAAAACAGCCTGTACCACTTTAATTCCCCATGGTTGCAAAGCTAGAAGGGAACAGGTATTATAATTCCTGTGTCTTTCACAGAAAAACAGGTGCTGTGGACAGTAGCTTACAATTTATAGCAAAAGCTTTCACAGATACTATACAAGTATACACTGGATGATCTTAACCAAGATACTGTTACCAAACAAGGGAATAGATTAGTATAGCTTTTAATTACATTATAATTGACTTGTATGTTGTCGAAAATGTAATTTCATCATGATGTTTTAAGAAGTTTCTAGCCAGAGGCTGTTTAAACTGCAGCATAACGAATGCTGGAGGAAATGATACAGTAAAATGCAGGGGCACACACTGATTCAGAGTTAATGAGGCAGCCAAGAGACTTCGGCATATGAAAGTGCCCAGCGTTGTGGGCAAAAGTCAACCCTGTTGAAAAATGACAAAACACAGCAATGATGCAGGGAGAACATGAACTTGTAAGTGCCTGGTTGCTGTGTAGTGTGTGGGGAAAGCCGTGCACGGGGCCTCTCATTAAAAGTGACCTACATTATTCTGCCTTTTAGAGGCGAAAAAAAATGTTTGAAAGCATGAAAATTACTCAGACTGATATCCTCCGTTGTCCTCTGGAATAATGCATGGTGGTGCCCTGGTTGATGGGTTTGTTTATTTTTTATAAATTGGAAATATGTGTTATCCAAACAATATAGACAGGGGGGAAAGAATGAAAAACTTGTTTCTGTATAGAATTTGAGAAGGAAATACAATCCCTCAGAAACAAGCTGCTGTCCTCATTTTAAAATGTTTAGATGATATATTTCTATAGAACCTGTGATTGCAACAGCATTGCTTTCATCTTTTGAGAAATAAGTTGTTAATAAGCTATCTTAAAAATTAATAGCCAGCAATAAAGTATATAGTGAGACATTCTGAGATGGCAGCATCAAAGTGACACAGCAAGAGTCATCTCAGATGCCAGTCCTAAGTTGTCTCTGAGAGGTGTTTAAACAGATGACTAGAAAAAAATCAAATCAGGCTTTAAAAGGTGTATAGATCGAAAGAACGTTTTTGGTAAATACATGATACAGAAGCAAAGACTTTGTGTTTCAGAGGAAAAAAAAGTTGCTGGCTGACACTCATTCCCAGTTGCTAGATCATTTAAAAGAATTTATTGCATAACAATTACCTTGGATATTGAAGATCAGTAGCTAACTTGGGCATAAGTGTGTGAAAGTATTGAAGGGAGAACCAGAAAATTGCTGTGTTGGGAAAGGAAAAATCAATGGGTCTATTTCTGAAGTAAATTGCAATTAGTAGGAATAAGAAAATGGGCCAAATTTTGCCAATCAGTATTCACATAATGTTCCCTGAAGTGAATACTGTCCATTATGCAGTATAATGAAGGTGTTTGATTAAGTGACATATATGCCCTTATCATGGGATCTATCAGTGAATGTCCCAGCAGGAGTGGACAGTATGATTCCCAGAGCAGAATAAAGCTGGAAGGGACAGAGCCCCAGAAGCACGTGGTAGCAGATATTTAGGGAGGTAAGAAGGAATGATATGTAGATCTGCTAATATTTGATGTATTTCTGGCTTTCTCAGTTCCTGTACTAGTCCTAATTGCTACCTAATTTAATAGCTGCCCACCTCTTTATGACCACGCTTTTTGTGTTCTCACGACTGGAGGCAGGCCTCCTCGGCACACTCAGAGGAAATTCGGAGTTCTTCCAGTGCTCTGTTCAGAGACTCAAAACAAATCATTTTCCTTGCCCATGGAACTGGAATTATTTTAAGACATAGTTGTTAAAAATATCCTAGGGTATTTTGCCAAAAGGTGACTCCTGAATTTAAGAAGCTTTCCTTTCACAGGAAAAAAATTGCAGGGTATGGTAGCACGGATGAAATTCCTTCATCTGGCAAGTCCTTTATGTTATTTTTTTTCTTTCATTGACGTAAATTCAGCCATTAAACCAATAACAACTCTTTCTCAGGGAAAACCTACCAAGTAATTTAGATATTACAGAATTTTTGGCACTGAATTAAAGAAGGATTCTGGCAATGAGTACCTCACCAGGGGCCTGCGTTGGTGTGGCAGCATTTACCCATGCCTCTAAAACCTCATGGATCTGATTTGCAGTAACGTGTAGCAGAAACAATCACAACGTCAC